AGGAATGCAGCCACTGGGATCATCTTCCTTGACCAGCTCCTCCTTTTCAAGTCCAACAAGGTCAAGCTTCTTTTAAATCACCTTGAAGAGCCTACGTGACAACTGATTCAATTTTCCAATTCTCAAAAGTGCATCGAACAAGGATTACATCCAATCATGGTTGACACTGTCCTAAAGTAGAAGGAAACCTCTCTTGACCTTTACTTGAGAGGGAAGAGCTGTTTTTCTCCCCTCTGGTAAGCTGGGGCCAGACGACTCAAGACTGGACAGCTTGTTTGGAATACTGAGCAAATCTGAACAATGACTTATTCTCATGAGTTAAATGAAGCTTTCAGACTGTGCTCTGTCAACTGATTTTGTACTGGAAAAGTTGGCTAGGTTCAAGGAAAGAGAGCGAGTGAGCGAGCTACATCCCAGCACTTGGCTGTCAGCAGCATTTGATGTTCCCTTTGAGAATCAGCTGACATGTTCAGACTTCTGCTGAAATCTAGTGTTTGCCTTATACCCTTCCCCGCCACTTTGCCACACACAGGGAACTAGACTCTCCCAAGAAACAACAAATGAGTTTATTCTAATTCCTGTAAAATACAGAGCAAATTGATGAGAAAGTGTTGAACAGGTGTTTGCCATTCCTGAAGGGGGAAAAAAAAGGAGGGGCAACTGAAGGAAGAAAAAGATGGGCTGGAGTATATGTGCCTCTGTGCATCATACAGGTTCAGTTCTGTAGGATATCCTGGCCTGGTTCCTATTCGTCTGAAAGTCTGTTCTCCCGTAAGACACACACACAGAGAATTTTACCCTTGCTTCGAGGTTTGGTCAGTCAACTCGAACCAATACCAGAGACAAGCTGAGGGTAGGTAGGAGGTAGCGACATATGCAACACTGCACATTGACTGCTGGACCCCCAGACTAAAAAAAGGCTGCTACCTGGAACTCCAGTGTAGACAAGGGTAGCAGTGAAGGGCTAAGATAGCTCTTGCTAAGGACAGAGCTGAATTTGTGGACTACTTTCTTTTAAGTCCACCTCGAAGGCGGCCTCCACCATTTGCTGAATTAAATTAGGTCAGCTCGGGAAGAAACTATGCAGAGTCAGGAGTCTCCATGGCCCCTTGCAAACCTCACTATGACAGCCTGCAGTCCTAACTCAAGCTCTATATAGAAACTCTTACTCCTTGCAGGTCCATTCATGGCATCCTACAAAGCAAGCTATTGCTTATGAAATCTTATGCCCCTCTGAATTGGTTAGTTTTTAAAGGTGTCACTCTGCCTTGCTTTCAAGCTCTAAAGCACTGGTTCCCAATCTGTGGTAGACGTACCACTGATGGTACACAGACAACCTATCAGTGGTACACGTTAACAAACTTATTATAATTACTTTATATGACAAACATTTGCTGGTGGTTTTTAAGGTTGTATTGTTTTAAATTGGTGGTGCGCAATCTGTCAGAGTTTGGGAACCGCTGCTCTAAAGGGAGCCATTCTCCACTAGCTGAGAGAGTCAGTGGCTTTCACCTTTTACTGCTTCTCCGACAGAGACGATGTTCATAATATCAGACCTTAGTTTTCCAAATTAGGGGACTTCCACTTTCTCCTTAAACCTTATACTGGTTATTCAGCTCCTTTTTCTACAGCAGTAATAAGCATCACTACAAAACTACACAAGAATCTCAGAAGATTTTTTTTTCCTACACTAACTTGAAGCCCCATTAAGTAGTAAAGAGTCGATTTGATCAATCTGTGACATAACAATGCCTCCAGGGAGGTCTTTTTACCCTTTTCTGTCAGCAGTGGAAGACACCCAGGTGAAAAGCAGATGGAATTCAGGAAGACAAAACTTAATTACCACAGCTTGATTTTGGCTGGGAAGAGATTAGTCTTAGTGTGTCAGGGGTCTTTTAAAAGCCACAAAAAACCCCAAAACATAACAAAACACCTTGGCTTTATTTTTTCTTTAGAAACACAGTGTGTCCTAACACTCTAGGAAAGCTGCTTCAGGCCTCACTCAGGAAGAGCGCTGTCTATCAACACCACAATTTCCAACTTATTTTATTTATTCCGGCTTATTTTCCAGAATGGTTTCCAGGTCCCAGCCCTGCTTGTAGAGAGGTCTTGTCAGAACCAGAGATAACAGTGGAAAACCTTGCTGCGTCCCTTCACTCCATGTCTGCTATATCCAAAGAGCAGCTTCCTGTTTAGGACAAGGCAAAGAGCTCTAAACACATACTTGGACTTTCCTATTTCAAGCAGAGTGTAGGGGAAGCAAGCTAGGGAAACTGTGGAATGGTGTTTGCACATTTTCCCCTGGGACCTACCCCAAGCCAAGTCATATCTTTCAGAGAAAGCATCTAAATCACATGGTGGATATCCCCAGATTCTATTGTCTTTTTTTAAAAGCTCAGATGAAACTGATAAAGGGCTTTTGCTTAAGTCAGCATTGTGATTTCTCAGTGGGTGGAGTAAGACAGCAATGTATTCCTATAGTCGTGCCACTCAGAGGGCTAATTTTTCTTCACAGGGCAAAGAGTACACATAATCACCTGTGAATTCTCTTCCCTCTACTTCTCCCAAGGTTTAACCCTCTCCAAACCCCATTGAATCACAGGTTTCAGTCTGAAAATGTCTGGAGAAGTTTGTGTTAGGTGTAGCCATATTGGTCTAAAGACATAGGCAGACACTTCCTCTGCCTGAAGAAGGGTGTTTGTACCCGAAAGCTTGCAAAGAAGTATTTTTCCAACTATTTTAGTTGGTCTAATAAAAGCTATCAGATCTCTTGTCTGGAGAAGTTTGCCATTGTCCAAAGGAAAGCAGGATAGCTTCCAACTTGGACGTTAAAAAAAAAGGTGTCAAATCAAACAAGTGGTCTCTTCCTCCACCCACAACACAGAAAAGAATACTCCTGCAGAGATGAACCCT